AGGTGGCTCACGACATTATTTGGTTGTTTTTGTCTAGCCCATTGGTTGCAATTTTTTGCTTGTCATGCATTGTCAGCATGGAGGATCCTGAAATCTGTCTTTACTCTTTATTCTTCCTTGCATATTGTTTTTTGATTTCTGCTATTCCTTTTAGCTGATCTATTTTACTTTATTCCCATATATATTACTCAAAATCTAACTGATCTTTCTTGTGGTTTATCTGCAGGATGGGTAGGGCTGATGTTTGAATTATTCCATTGTAATCTTGCTTGGAATTCATGTGCATTTGGTTTTGACATGTGCTTACTCTTGGCCTCATGAAGTTCTATCCATTTAGCACATCAGTAGTATCAACTAACAAATTTACTGCCATTAATCCGGTCGCTTGCTTGAGCCTCAAGGACCAAATATAACTTTAAATAGTTTCACGCAAAATAATCAAGTGAACAACCTGAATTTTTTTTTGTTCTTTTGCTCTTTTCATCTGACAGGCATTTTGTTCCAAATCTAACAATTGGTGCTCCAGTCATTGAGAGTCTGAGAAAACATACAAAGTGAGTAACAAGCTTTCTGCTTCTCACTTAGAAATTTGGATTAATATCTTTTAGTGCTGGCCTTTCTATTATCTTTTTGTTTTTTTTTACAGGGCGTATCTAGATTGCCACCTTATGGTGACAAATCCCTTAGATTATGTTGAAGCTATGGGTAAAGCTGGTGCCTCTGGTTTTACATTTCATGTTGAGGTTTCCAAAGGTGGGCATCATGTTGTCTTGGATGTCAATTTATCTTCTGTGTGTTTCGCCTCCCATGTTTGTGGTTTTATTATAGTTATTCTTCTGTTGGTTGTCCAGAAAATTGGCAAGAACTTGTTCAGAAAATTAAATTGAATGGCATGAGGCCTGGAGTGGCACTAAAGCCTGGAACACCTATTGAAGAAGTTTATCCTTTGGTAAGAATGCTTTCATTTGTTGGAAAGAGATAACTGTATTAAGGTAAACCAAGGTCATAAACTATGTGTTCTTTTTCCATCTCTCAATAACAGGTTGAAGGGGAAAATCCTGTTGAGATGGTTCTTGTGATGACTGTGGAACCTGGTTTTGGTGGGCAGAAGTTCATGCCAAATATGATGGATAAGGTGACATGCCTCTTTTTTCCTTTCTGTCCATTTCTTACAGAAGTTTCTGAATTCTTCTAGTGGCTAGTATGCTTTTCATCAATTCTGTAACTTCTTTCTTTCCATGGGTAAATTAGGTTCGGGCATTGAGAAGTAGGTATCCATCCCTTGATATAGAGGTAATGCTTTTCAACTATTTCAGTCTATTCTCTTCCAATGTATATTCTAATTGATTGTTCCTTGAATTCATATTCATTTTGCAATTTTCTTTTACGAACATTTTCTATATATGTGCTTGCACAATAGTTTGTGAGAAACATTATAGCAGTTTGAGGAGTCATTTTGTACTTTTTATGTAGAGGGATAAAGGGATAAATATTTCTTATATTTAAATTGTATTATAATTTATGTATATCACTAACCTAGCATTTTTTGTATCATTAGAATTCTAGAACCTAAAGTTAATTAGATTAGGACTCTACATCTTGTAACATTATAAATAGCATGTTCATGTGATGAATAAAGTCACATTTGAATATTAATTCATATCAGAACATTAAGAACATTTTTGTGGGATTAAACCGCAAGTTTCCTGTGGGAGCTATTTATCCTTGAGGATCTTTTTTGATCAATTCTAAAATTTTAATAGAATTCCTTCGATAACAAGATCTACACGTGAACGCACACATACTTAAGCTACGAATTGAGAATGATCATTTGTTTCTTAATCAGTACTTAAGACTGTTGCTTATAATATTTTGGTTTTTTACGTTGCAGGTGGATGGTGGTTTAGGCCCTTCAACCATTGATGTGGCTGCTTCAGCCGGAGCAAACTGTATTGTTGCTGGAAGTTCAGTGTTTGGAGCTCCAGAACCAGCACAAGTTATATCCCTTATGAGAACGAGTGTTGAGAAAGCCTCAAAGAGCAATTGATCTTGTTGCAGGCAAGATATAAGAATACTGGATAAACAAAAATATTCCACAGTGTAACTATTAATCAATTTGATACCTCCAAGTTTTGAAATTAATTGAAATCATATGATTTCATAATTTTATTTATTTTGTTGTATTACGTTTGTATCTTCAAGGGGTGTATGTAAAACTGTTGAGCCATGTACAAGATGGTACTTAGGTCAGGATTGACACGTGAATATTTTTGGATCTTCATTTTTCTAATAAAATCATTATCTTATGCTCATTTCACACAATTTTTTTCCCCTAATAGTTGTCTCAGTATCATGCACTGCTCTTTTGAATAAGCACAATGATTATATTCTTTAACTTCTTTATTTCAAGATTTTTATTTATTAATAGTTTCTTTTCTTCCATTTGTAGTATATACATGTTTATTAGTAACTAACTTACGTGGATTAGTTTAATGAGATTATGTTGATTTCTTAGCTGCTAAGTTCTTGTTATCCTTCTCTGATCAATTATGGTTGATTTTAGTTTCAATCCTGGGGTAGTGGCATTTGCTTTGCCAATTATGGCATTGCTTAGTATAAGTGTGGAATATTAACATTTACAGACTATCTGAGTGTCATGGTTAATGGGTGTTTTCTATGCCTAGAGAGCAAATTCTCCAATCATCTTCTCCTGTTGGTGCTCCAAGATAGAAGACTGTGAGATTCGACCCTCAATTTTCAACCTCAGTTGGATGGTTAGTGGTTCTATCTCACACCTTACTTGAAGGACAGTATTGTTTCCCTTATTTCTATTGTTTATTTCTTGGTTATTTGGACGAGAAGAAATTGGAGAATTTGAAGGCGGTTTGCTCTCCTTTTGAAAATATATTTATTTCTTGGTTGTTTGGACAGAAAGAGTTGGGAGAAATTTTGGGACATTTGCCTCCTTGATAGGATTAGAGGCCATTGATTTCAAACTTTGTATCTTGTTGGAAGGTCAATTCTCTTCTGCAGTTGAGGTGATTTAGGGGACTTCATAGATATTTTATAGGTTCTTATTGTAAATTCCTTTTGTACGTGGGTAACTGCCTTGGTGGCTTGCAAAATACATACTTTTTCTGAAGGTGTAAAAACTTCCAAACTATTTTCATTTACAAATTAATTGGTGGTTGATGTAGATGAAGAAGTTTAGTTCATTTACGTGAACACTGAACTTATATTCCCATCGGTTTAGGAATGATTGTTTTAGAACATTTTGTACAAGTAGTTTATATATTTAAATTTACACAGTATTCACATCTTTCTTTTCTCCTTTCTCTTATTCCAAATAGCTGCAGTAGCTTGAGATGGGATTCACATGTCTGTTATTTTTAGATAAAATCTGATACATGACATTCTTGTAGCCTGTCCATTCATCTAACAGGTCATACTTCACATAACTTGATGGGTCTATGGTTTCAAGTTCTCAGTTGCTTGCTAGCTGTGATGTCCAAAATCCAAACCCAGAAGTCAGATTGCAGCCCCTATCAAGTAAGCTTTCTGTTACCCCAAAAGAAGGGAAGTCATGATCTTTCACTTTGATGGATGTAGATATTTTTTGAGGCACGAGACATGTCTTTTAGATGCTTGTTAAAATGCATACGAGAGGGAAATATATTGGAATATAGGTACAGTACTCTATAGTAGGAAGTTAACATGACTTCTTTTTTAATCTTCTTTGGATTGTGTTTAGTTCTACTCTTATATTATTTTTTCAATTGATCAATAGATTAGATTTTGCGTTTAGTAAATGAACTTCATCTTCACTGATGAAGTTTTTTTTGAAGTTTTTTTTTTTTTTAAATTTAATTAGGAATGGCTTAAAATGATAATATTGACGGCATTTTAGCAAAATAACCGAAATTAGTGGAGTAAATTGTTTTACCAAGGTGGCTGGAGTATAGTGGTGGTGCTATAGTAAGTTATAAACAGATGACTTTTATTTAATTATTACATAAACATAATTATTTGTATTTATAAAGAAAAAGATTTTAAGTGTATGGAATACTTTTAGCCTGAGAATAAGTATTAAAGTTTTTATTTTTCTATTTTGTCTTTATAATGAATTTAATTCTCTCTCCTATAAACATATTCTTTCTAAGTGCATGTAAGCATATTATATATACACATATATAATTACCATGTATAGGAGAGAGGAGTACATAAAGATTTGATATTAAAGTCTATACATACATGTATATATATGAACGGTAGGGGGAGGGAGGGGCACTGACCCCCTGGTTCCACCACTATTCCCCTCCCACACTGTATCTTTTAATATATAGACAAAACCAAGTTATGTTAGAATAAACCTTGGAATATATTCTTGAATAAAGAAAACAGTTTAATTGTTTCAACCAAGGCAAGTTTTAATATTCCCTCGTTGCTGTTTATTATGAATTTCCATTTTTTATTTGTAAAAAAAAAGAAAGAAACACAAACTGTGAATGGTCACCATGTGTTGTCACGTGTGATTGAACATCAATATTATAGGTCCTCTACTTTCGGTTCCTTTGATTGATCTTCTAAAACACTTCTTCTTCATCATTTTTGAGGCTTAAGCTGCTGTCATTACAGAGATTCATACTCGTTAATCTCACTGATTATTCTCCCTCATAGTAGAATATATATATATATATCGATATATATGACGTGCATATAAAACTACTCCCTTATAGATTATAATGCTATTATTGTGATTGGTTTTGGAGAAAGAGCTTGATCTAGTCACTAAAAAATTTTAATGTTATTTGATGATATGTTAAGACCGATTAAATAAGTCAATTTGAGGTTTATTTTAGAGTATCAATTTAAGATGCAAGTCGAAGGGTCTATAGGAAAAAGAAAGAAGTTCGTATATATAATAAATAATGAAAGTGTATGGGGTCCTCTACAAGATTTTTTAGCTTTATATATAGTTTTTTAAATAATTAATTTGTAATTTCTATCATTATTTTAGTATAGTAGCACAATTTTAGATAATAATTACTATTAGTAAAGAATTGCTCGTAATCATAGGTAGCATAGTGTTTTTTTTATTAGTAATATAGTAATGTTTAATATTATGAGATTTTTAATCACTGCTCTTATGCATGATATTTTATTACTATATATTTTCATATATTGTTACTAAATAATCATATAATATTTATGTGTATCTTGATATCTAATAACTAGATACATACACGTTATTCGGTATTTGTTAATCAAATATAGAATATAAAAATATCATCTAACGCTAGATAGATAATTTATATTTTTATATTTTTTATACTTTGAATAATGTATTAGTGTATTTAATTGTATTATTGAAATTTATGTTTAAGTTATATATTTTATTTTTATATTTCTTACAAATGGGTTTTTTTTTTTTTAATTTGAAGAGTACAACTTATTTGACTACATTCTTGTTTTAGGCCAATTATAAGTTACTAATTGGATTATTCTTGTAGTAAATATATATTTTTTATTTTTCATAATAAAAATATATACACTTAGACGAGCTTATTTTTATGCATCTAGGTATTTGATGTTTTTTTTTTCTCTAATAATCTTAAAGACGAACTTCATTTACATCTACTTAGTATGGACTTGATTTTTAGACATTTAAGTCCTAAAATGTTGTGTATAAAAATTAAATTTAAATGGTAAAAAAAATTCTTATTGATTGTATTTTTTACTTGAACTGTGAAGAGATGAAAAAAGTTTTTATTTAATGTATATGTATTAATTATAACAAAATCTAATAAAAATATACAAAAATATACTGTTAAATTTATTATCATTTATAATATCAAAATAAGAAAGAAGAGACGGAAGAAAGGTGGTGGTTTAAGGAAATGACAAGCATGCTTGGGCAACAATGATTTTACTGGAGGAGTGGCTTTATGGAACAGTGGTGATTGTCAACGTAGGACTGTCATGGCCAATTTGACCTATCTCTCACTAGCCTTCTTTTTCATGCCCCAGCTTTAGCTTGCATGAACATCTCTTCAATCTCTCCATAGCATGAACCTTTTCCATTTCCATTTTTCCCTTTTTCCCTCCTACTTTCTTTCTTTCAAAACCCATATCATTTTCTGTTCAATTTGTTCCACAAGATGCCCTTTCCTCAGTTTTTATCCATAAATATTAGTCGGCATGCACACAAAGAATAAAAACCAAGTAACAAATTGCATGTAGAATATATGATAATAAAATTCCTGTTATCTTTTGGTTATTTGATTTTTTTAGTCGTCTATAATATTTAATTTATATTGTCAACTATATATATATATATATATTCCAATATTTTGTTAGAGATTATTGGTTAATTATTGTGGAGATCGTTAAAAGTTAAACATTCACTTCCTATAAATGGGTGAAATAAAGAAGATGAAATTTCTTCATTATTCTTTTTCCACATTTTTTTTTCATTATCTTCTACTATTTTATCTCCATTTTTGTTCATTTGAGCATTGTAGTGATTTTTGAGAATGAAATTTATGATCATTTTCATTCCTATTAGTAGACTATTAGATAGTCAAGTGAAAGTCTTACTATTCTCCAGTAAGGTTTTCTTTTTTTGGAAATCAATTTTCATTAAATTAGCTAATGGGTTATTTTATATGAATATCATATTAAGTGAGTTTATATCATGTAATAATTATATGCTAATGTCAAATTTTGATTAACATATAATATATATAAAAAAAGTCGATGTATACCTTAAATTTGTCGAATCAATTTGATTTGAGTATTCAAGTTTTGGTTTTATTAATCGATTAATCAGTTGAACATAAATTTAACTACAATTATATTAGAATTGATGTGGTATTACTTGAGAAAAAAATTGACCAGCTGAAAACCCGTATGCAAGTTTAGTCAAAGATTAATTCACTTGTCTGCCTAAATTAAAAAAAAAAAAAAACACTTCATAAAACAATCAATTACAAGATTAAAATTCAACGGTGTATAATTGGATGCATGCATGGTCCCTTACCATATATACATAACCTTATTGCGGATGATGTAGGCCATAAGTGTTTGATTCTGCAACCAATTCATACATGTTCTCATGCTCTTCCCTCAGGGGTCCCTCATGATGTGTGCTAAACTGAGCAATATAGCTTTTCTGCTCCTCCCATACATACAAAGACGCACACTAGTCATACACATTATTTGTGTAATATATGAATGTTTCTACTACTAGTTTGTTAGTATCTCTACGTGATCCACTTGTGGGTTCTTTAATATATATACATGTATATGCATGTTTGGGTGTGCGTGTTTTTTCTTTTCTGGATAGATAGGTGTGTCTGAATGAGGAAGTTTTGTATTGTTTGATATGGATTGAAGATGGAAAGAAAATGAATTTCATTAATAAATCAACACTGATAATAGTTGGTGCCAGCTAGTCTAGCTGGTAAATATTTAGTGCATATATATCTATGTATATTGTATAAGAATTCAAGATTGAATCTTGATCGAGCACCTATAACAGGAAGCATTATTAAAAGAAGAAATTTCATCTCTTTTACCATAGCATATTGGTATATGTAGATGATATATAATATTTCAAATATATTTATAAAATGATGCAGATTTTACTACATCATATTGGTATATAGAGATAATGGTACTCTGCATGATGGATTTGTCATATTCATTATAAAAATGGTATGGATTCATATTGGCAAATCAATATTCCAAACATCTTGAATGTGGATAAGAGTAACAGGATCCTGTCCAAGAAGGATTAATGGGCATATAATTGGGCAAAAAGCTTCCTCTTTTTCCTTTTTTTTAAGCCCGAGAAGTGTATATATATATTTCCATATATATATATATATCTGTGGATCTTGCTGAAAAGTGGTGGGTATGATCATGGTCATCAAAACTGAAAGACTTTGGGATAGATAGCCACCCCCTAGTGGAATCAAATCAATCCCCAAGGTTCATAGTCAGTTTGGCTAAACAGCTGGAATCAGAAAGTATATTAAAAAGAAATATATATATATATATATATATATAGTGTTGTCATCCCCAAGAGTTCTGTCTATAAAATCCTTTTGAAAAAACCAATCCTTTTTTTTTAATCTCCATCTTTTGTATGGATCCAAAATATTCACTCTCTCTAACTGAGAAACCTGTTTGTTTTTAAATTACCAGTCTGCTGTATGTGCTTACTTTTAGATATATATATTTGGATTTAATTAATGTCAACATGGCTCTTGGTCTGATAATCAATGATCTGATCTACTTGAGATCTTTGGTAATTTTTTTCATCTGGGTAGTTTTCTCTGCACTTGGCCAGGACTTGCTTAGCTGCCAGACTTCATCTACTGATGCCTATGGCTACCATTGCAGCTCTGCAGAAGATCAGTGTGCTACATATATAGTTCTCCATGTCAATTCATACTTCTCCTCACTCACCAACCTCACTTCTTACTTGGGTCTCAACCCTTTTGTGATTGCTGATACAAATGGGTTGTCTCCTGACACAGAATTCCTCCCTTTAGATCAGCCATTATTGATTCCTATTCTCTGCAAGTGTAGTGTTTCTACCGGCTTTTACCAAGCTACAGCCAATAAAACTGCCGTTAAAGGTGAGAGCTTTTACAGCATCGCTGGGTCTCTGGAGGGCTTAACCACCTGCAAAGCTATTCAAGAGCAAAACCCAGGTGTCTCTCCATGGAATCTTGAAGAAAAAGCGAAGCTTCTCGTGCCGTTAAGATGTGCCTGCAGCAAGTCTAAGCTGTCCAAATTCAAGCTCTTACTGTCATATCCCATAAGAGAAGGTGACACAGTTTCTGGATTAGCCATCAAGTTCAACACAACAGAAGAAGCTATTCTGTCTGCAAATAATGAATCACTTCGGTTAATCTTCAAGCCAGATCAAACCCTATTGCCTTTTTCATCAATCTTGATTCCTGTCAAGGGCAAACCAGTCATCGGTCCAGCCTTGTTGAAACCCAGAGAACCAAACCTGCGTTTTCCAGCCACTGATATCCCCATAATTAAAAGGAAACCAAAGATGTGGAAGGTTGGAGTTTATATTGCTGTCACTGGAGTCATTGTTGGAGCTGCCATTGCAATTGCAGTAGTCTTCTTGTTTCTCCATTTAAAGAAGATCAAGAATAAGAAGAATAAGAAGAAGAAGAAGAAGAATTCGGATGTGGAGTTGCAGCAGCTGAGTTTAAGTGTAAGGACAACTAGTGACAAGAAAGTGTCCTTTGAAGGATCAGGACAGGACCCTATTGACCGGCAGAGTTTTGATACTACCCCAAGAAAGGTTCTTATAGAGACATACACCATTGATGAGCTTAGAAAAGCTACTGAGGATTTCTCTTCAAGTAACCTGATAGAAGGGTCTGTCTACCATGGCCGGCTCAATGGCAAGAACATGGCAATCAAGAGGACAAGTCCAGAAATTGCTGGGAAAGTTGATATCAGTCTAGTCTGTGATCCAGCTCATCATCATCCAAACATAATTAAGCTCATGGGAACTTGTTTTACAGATGGTCCTGATGCATTCCTAGTGTTCGAGTATGCGAAAAATGGGTCCTTAAAGGACTGGCTTCATGGCGGATTAGCAATGAAAAACCAGTTCATTTCCTCTTGCTACTGCTTCTTGACATGGAACCAAAGACTGAGAATCTGCCTTGACATAGCCCTTGCATTGCAGTATATGCACCAGATTATGAATCCAAGCTATGTCCATCAAAACATCAAAGCCCGAAACATCTTCCTAGACGAAGATTTCAATGCCAAAATTGCGAATTTTGGGATGTCCAGATGCATAGAAGACGAAACAGAACATCCAGACTTCAGCTCCACTAGTCCTGCAACATGGAGTCTAGGTTATCTATCTCCTGAATATGTCCAACAAGGGATAATCTCCCCCAAGATGGACATTTTTGCTTTCGGGGTAGTTTTGGTTGAGGTCTTGTCTGGACAGACACCAGTGAGCAGGCCTGAAAACAAGCAAGAATCTGGAGGGTCTGTTTGGCTGTCTGAGAAAATCAAGTCAGTTTTGGTGTCAGAAAACCCAGATGAGGAACTGAGAGAATTTGTGGATAAAGCACTGGGGGAGAATTATTCAGTTGATTCAGTTTTTGTATTGGCCAATCTTGCAAGATCTTGTGTGGAAGATGATCCCGGTTTGAGACCAAATGCTGTACAGATTGTTGATAAGCTGTCAAGATTGGTGGAAGAAGCACAAGATGGATCAGAAGAGCATTTCTTGATCTGTGAAAGCTCTTGTAAACCTCTTGTAAAACAGTATTAATTAAGAAAAAAAGAAAGCTGCTTCCCCATTATATATATATATATATATGTATAAGTCTTGTGAATAAATCAACTCCGTAACTAATCCTACCATAATTTTAACTAGCATGCTCCAATGGGTGTTTTGTGGTTGATAAATCTAATTAGTAGAAGAGTACTTAAATTAAAATGTTTCTCCTAATTTTTACCGACTAAAAATAATTTTCTTTCTCCCATCTTCAATTGTGAATAGAAAAATTCTTTGAATCAATTTGTAATTATACAAAATTGTGAAATTTTATCTGAAAATATTATTTATTAATCAATTTTTTTAAATGTATAATGTATAGTTAACACAAAAAAAAAAAATACTGAATTGGAAATAAAAAAATGGCAGTTTCTTACTATCTGATTATATTAATAATTAAGCACTAATAATAATTTTTATGATTTTAAGAAACTGAAAACTTTATGTCACTAAGCTTCATTGAGGCATGTGCTGGTTTGACTATCCAGTCAAAGATCAGAGATTACATAATAAAAAATTCTCTGTTTCCCAAAAAAAATAATGTTTTCCATGCATGTGATACTGAAAAGATTGGAATTATATAAATGATTTTCATATATATATATATATTATATGATAAAATTAAAAGAATATGTAATTCTTGAAGTTATATTCTTCTATTAATATATTGAACTTAAATTTTTGAGAAATAAGTCATTAGATACAAAAAGATTGTTGAATTAATGATATTTGGGCATCACAGTAGTTAACAACTAGTTATATAGTTGCAGTCTCCAAAACCCAATACTGTAATTATATATATATAGATATATATATATATAGGTATATATAATAAGTTAGCTCTCAATTAAAAGGAGCAGAGGCACCAACCTAGCTCACCCTTTCTGTCTCATGAGAGGTTGAATTATTCTCTCAAGAACCCTGACAAACTAATGATCAGTAGCTACCTACCATGGCTACAAAAGTTTTTCAGGTAGTCCATATATATATATATATATATATGTATATGTATATGTACATGTGTATGCACATAAATGTTATATGAACATTCATGAAAAGTTGGCCACAAAATTGTTGTCCCAGTCTCATCAAAAGAAATCCTTTTTTTCTTTTCCTTTTTATACTTTTTGGACGGTGCAACTCACATGACCTCATTCTCCCCCATATATATATATATATATATATATGTGCGTGTGTGTGTATGTATAGAAAGGAAAGAGTATGTAAATTGTAGAAAGGAGATGCTAATTGATTTTTTTAAAAAAATTATTTAATTCATTTATTATTTATATTATATCTTTAATAATCGATACATATATATATATACACACACACACACATACATATACAATCCAACAAATCTAATCAAATAATCAAAAAGATTAAATCCAATCCAACCCATAAGGTAAATTAGTGAAATAATTTTTTATTTTTGTACATCTTACAATTTAATTTTTAATACTTTTTCATTATAATTTAGCTTATGATATTTTTTTTTGTTTATTTTAAATATCAAAAACTAAATTGTAACAAAAAATATTAAAAGTTAAATAATAAAACTATCAAAAATAAAAAATTAATTTAATAATTTACCTTTTTTAAAAGGCTTTTCAGAGCATCATAACCCTAAACTCATCAAAATTAATAACTCCATCTCCGTTAAGATCAAACTGAGCGATCATCACTTCACATTCCTCCATCGTCTTCCTCTCCCCCAATCTGCTCAGCATCCTCTTCAAGCTCCTCGGAGTTATGCACCCACTCCCTTCCATCTCATACAACTTGAACGCCTCCCTCAATTCCTCCTCTCCGCCGTCACCTTCCGTTAACCTCATGAACTCCTCCACTCCCAGCAGCCCGTCCCCGTCTCCGTCTAAAGCCGCCACCACCGCCTCCGCCTCTTTCAACGATAAATTCAGACCGCCGCCGTTAGTTTGATCCCCCACTATTGATTTCACGCACTGTTCGAGCTCCTCCGCCGATATTTTTCCGTCACCGTTTCCGTCAAAGTAGCGGAAGACTCGCAAGTATTGCTCCTGTTTGTTCATCGTCGAAGTAGCTGAATTGGTTGTGAGTTCCAGTTGCAATTTCTTTGAATATCGAAATTTATATAATGAGTTTCTTGAAGCGTATATCTGTATATATCGAAATGGTATTTATAGAGGTTTATGTATATGCATAGATAGAGATAGGATATATGTGGGTGATTTGAATATTTGTCGTGTGCATAGAACAGGAGGGGAGACTCCGCGTATTGAGGGATGACCAGTCATATATGTTGTATTCACAAAATAATTTATTTCAGTTTCTTGGAATGTTCTTCTATACACATACATGTGAATATATATACATACACGTATATAATATGTTGGGAGGAATGTTTTGTATATTTGAAGGTGAATTTAATTGGAAATTCATCTACAATTTAATAAAAGAAGACAAAGAGAAACAAAAAACTTTCACAAAAGTTGGTTTCGATCTTACAATTTTGTACATCTATGACGCCAGAATATAAAAACTTGTTCTCGTAAATGTTTCGTAGTCGTAGTAATCTCATTAGATCGTACATATTTTTTAGAATATCTACATAATATATAGAAGTATAAACTGAAATATTTCGGAATTATAAAGTTGTTTCCTTTATTTTTATAATTAAAGCACTTGTTGGATTACGCTTAAAAAAATTTAATTATTATAGTAGTTCGCTACAATAAAATCTAATTTACGTATTAATCTCTATTAATACACTAATACAATAAATTATAAGTTTAATAGTGATTATTGGTTCAAACTTTATTGAAAATATATAATTTATTATTTTATAAGTATAATTATAAATCTTTAATTGCTTACTTATTATATTTGATTTAATATAATTAAATATATTATTAATATTATAATGTCAATATGAATTAATATTTAACGAGTTTATTATATTATTAAATAAAATAAAAATTTTATAGTAATCACGACGGCTTAAAATTTTAATTTAATAATTTTCATTTATTAAAAAAAAAAAAAAGGTATCTAGATGAGACAATTATGGTCGGCTATAATTGAATAATTTCTGTAATACTCTTTCTCCCCATAAATAAAGTAGACATTGACTTTGTAAACATATTCTAGTAAACAAATTAGAAATAAAAAACATATAACTATATATATATATATATATATATATAAACACACACACACACACATGAATAATGCATAGAAATAAATTGT